TTCAACAGTTATTCCTTCCTTCTTTGAACATAATTTAAACATTCATTCTCCAGTTATTCAACCCTTCCTTCTATGTACATAATATTAAACATTCATTCTCCAGTTATTCATTCCCTTCCTTCTTTGTACATAATTTTAAAATTCATTCTCCAGTTATTCAACCCCTTCCTTCTTTATGTACATAATATTAAACATTCATTCTCCAGTTATTCAACCCTTCCTTCTTTGTACATTTAAAACTTCATTCTCCAGTTATTCAACCCTTCCTTCATTCATTCATTTCCAGTTATTCAACACTTCCTTCTTTGAACATAACTTTAAACATTCATTCTCCAGTTATTCAACCCTTCCTTCTATGTACATAATATTAAACATTCATTCTCCAGTTATTCAACCCTTCCTTCTTTGAACATAACTTTAAAACTTCATTCTCCAGTTATTCAACCCCCTTCCTTCATAATTTAAACATTCTCCAGTTATTAATGTACATAATATTAAGTTCATTCATTCTCCAGTTATTCAAACCTTCCTTTTTTTGAACATTAAAACTTCATTCTCCAGTTATTCAACCCTTCCTTCTTTGAACATAACTTTTTTAAAATTCATTCATTCTCCAGTTATTCATAATATTAAACATTCATTCCAGTTATTCAAAACTTCCTTCTTTGAACATAATTTAAACATTCATTCTCCAGTTATTCAACCCTTCCTTCTTTGTACATAATATTAAACATTCATTCTCCAGTTATTCAACCCTTCCTTCTTTGAACATAACTTTAAAACTTCATTCTCCAGTTATTCAACCCTTCCTTCTTTGTACATAACTTTTAAACATTCAATTCCTTCTATTAAACATTCATTCTCCAGTTATTCAACACTTCCTTCTTTGAACATAATTTAAAACTTCATTCTCCAGTTATTCAACCCTTCCTTCTTTGTACCTAATATTAAACATTCATTCTCCAGTTATTCAACCCTTCCTTCTTGAAACATAACTTTTAAAACTTCATTCTCCAGTTATTCAACCCCTTCCTTCTATGTACATAATATTAAACATTCATTCTCCAGTTATTCAACCCTTCCTTCTTTGAACATAACTTTAAAACTTCATTCTCCAGTTATTCAACCCTTCCTTCTATGTACATAATATTAAACATTCATTCTCCAGTTATTCAACCCTTCCTTCTTTGAACATAATTTTAAAACTTCATTCTCCAGTTATTCAACCCTTCCTTCTATGTACATAATATTAAAATTCTCCAGTTATTCAACCCTTCTTCTTTGAACATAAGTTATTCTCCAGTTATTCAACCCTTCCTTCTTGTACATAATATTAAACATTCATTCTCCAGTTATTCAACCTTCCTTCAACATAACTTTAAAACTTCATTCTCCAGTTATTCAACCCTTCCTTCTATGTACATAATATTAAACATTCATTCTCCAGTTATTCAACCCTTCCTTCTTTGAACATAACTTTAAAACTTCATTCTCCAGTTATTCAACCCTTCCTTCTATGTACATAATATTAAACATTCATTCTCCAGTTATTCAAAACTTCCTTCTTTGAACATAACTTTAAATGTTCATTCTCCAGTTATTCAACCCTTCTTTCTATGTACATAATATTAAAAATTCATTCTCCAGTTATTCAACCCTTCCTTCTTCGAACATAACTTTAAAAGTTCATTCTCCAGTTATTCAACCCTTCCTTCTATGTACATAATATTAAACATTCATTCTCCAGTTATTCAACACTTCCTTCTTTGAACATAACTTTAAAAGTTCATTCTCCAGTTATTCAACCCTTCCTTCTATGTACATAATATTAAACATTCATTCTCCAGTTATTCAACACTTCCTTCTTTGAACATAACTTTAAAACTTCATTCTCCAGTTATTCAACCCTTCCTTCTATGTACAAATTATTAAACATTCATTCTCCAGTTATTCAACCTTCCTTCTTTGAACATAACTTTAAACATTCATTCTCCAGTTATTCAACCCTTCCTTCTATGTACATAATATTAAACATTCATTCTCCAGTTATTCAACACTTCCTTCTTTGAACATAACTTTAAAATTTCATTCTCCAGTTATTCAACCCTTCCTTCTATGTACATAATATTAAACATTCATTCTCCAGTTATTCAACACTTCCTTCTTTGAACATAACTTTAAAATTTCATTCTCCAGTTATTCAACCCTTCCTTTGAACATAACTTTAAAACATTCATTCTCCAGTTATTCAACCCTTCCTTCTTTGAACATAATTTAAAACATTCATTCTCCAGTTATTCAACTCCTTCCTTCTTTGAACATAACTTTAAAACTTCATTCTCCAGTTATTCAACCCTTCCTTCTTTGAACATAACTTTAAAACTTCATTCTCCAGTTATTCAACCCTTCCTTCTTAGAACATAAATTTAAACATTCATTCTCCAGTTATTCAACATTCATTCCTTCCTTCTTCTTTGAACCTAATTAAAAAATTCATTCTCCAGTTATTCAACCCTTCCTTCTTTGAACATAATTTAAAACATTCATTCTCCAGTTATTCAACCCTTCCTTCTTACTACCTAATATTAAACATTCATTCTCCAGTTATTCAACCCTTCCTTCTTTGAACATAGCTTTAAAACTTCATTCTCCAGTTATTCAACCCTTCCTTCTTAGTACCTAATATTAAACATTCATTCTCCAGTTATTCAACCCTTCCTTCTTTGAACATAACTTTTAAAAGTTCATTCTCCAGTTATTCAACCCTTCCTTCTTAGTACCTAATATTAAACATTCATTCTCCAGTTATTCAACCCTTCCTTCTTTTAACATAACTTTAAAACTTCATTCTCCAGTTATTCAACCCTTCCTTCTTAGTACCTAATAATAAACATTCATTCTCCAGTTATTCAATCATTCCTTCTTTGAACATAACTTTTAAACTTCATTCTCCAGTTATTCAACCCTTCCTTCTTAATACCTAATATTAAACATTCATTCTCCAGTTATTCAACCCTTCCTTCTTTGAACATAACTTTAAAACTTCATTCTCCAGTTATTCAACCCTTCCTTCTTTGAACATAACTTTAAAACTTCATTCTCCAGTTATTCAACCCTTCCTTCTTAGTACATAATATTAAACATTCATTCTCCAGTTATTCAACCCTTCCTTCTTTGAATATAACTTTAAAACTTCATTCTCCAGTTATTCAACCCTTCCTTCTTTTTACATAACATTAAACATTCATTCTCCAGTTATTTCGCCTTTCCGACTTTGTACATAACTTTATACATTCATTCTCCAGTTATTCAAACCTTCCTTCTTGGTACATATATTTAAACATTCATTCTCAAGTTATCTAACAATTCCTTCTTAGGATATAACTCTAAACATTCATTCTCCAGTTATTCAACACTTCCTTCTTTGAACATTAATTACACATTCATTCTCCAGTTATTCCACATTTCCTTCTTTTTACATATTCATTCCCCAGTTATTCAAACCTTCCTTCTTTGTACATAATTTTAAACATTCATTCTCCCTTTTCATCCTACACAAGTTCGGTGGATTTCGAAATTCTGGGGATTTTTCTTTTTTTTTATCAAATATTTTTACTTTACTTTTTTTATTTCTGTGCTTCAATTTTTTATCGTTAAATTAAATAATGTTGAGTCGAAGTAATGAAGCACCACCTGACCTAACTGGATTCGCCTTTTCATATCCTGGGCGGAGATATTTCACGCATGCTGCCTTAACTACAACAATTCCATCAGAGAAGCCGTTACCATGAAGAGACACAAATCTGCATTTATTTCAAACCTTCATTCTAAATTATAACAGCTCCACTTTATTCGAATTGTTGATTGAGGAACATTCATTATTAACATGTTGCCATATGGTTAAAGCGTCGTCTATGAAAGATGAGCTCCTGTGATATGGGATACGAGTAAAGTCACATCAGAAACTACTTCACGCTATTTGAACTGACGGCGTCTCTAAATTAGTGATTCTCATTTAAAAAACACGAAAAGAGACTTTATATCATAAATACATTTTGTTAATTCGAGAAAAAGCAGTTTGATGTTATTAGTCCAGTACAGATTTAATTTGATTGGATTTATTTTTTTCATTTTTTATTTTTTTTACGGCATATCAACCTTAACGGGTTATTTAATGCCGACAACATTTTTAGGATAGATTCGTATGAATAGAATATGTATTCTTTGGTTTAGATTGGTTTGGTTTAATTTTTTATGGCATATCAATTTCAATGGATTATTTAACGCCGACAACATTTTTTTATTGCTGGTAATATTTTGTTTTGTCAAAAATCTGTTTCTGATAATATATTTCCTTAAAAATTGCATTGTTGGTAATAATTTTTTTCAAAAAAGTATTGCTGGTAATAGTTAACTATTTACCCATAGCTCGGACACCAACAGGTGTCACCACCCTGGGTCAGGGTGGACCTGGGAACACCAGTAATTAAGAGGTGGTTCCATGCTCACCAAAACCTTCTGATCTGATGCCTTGCTGCTGGACGTAGTTTATCATCTTACCCAGGACGCGGATGCAATTTAACGTCTTACCCAGGACACAGGTGCTTTTTGGAAAGATTTCCAGCTAATCTGAAGAAAATCATTTAAACTTGTAGTACAGAATTTTTCAGCTACTACAGGTATTACAAAGGTAATGATGCGAAATACATTTCGCATCATTACCTTTGATTGATTTGTTTTACGGCTTATCAATCATTTTCAGGTTATTTAAAGCCAGAAAATATTTTTAGATTATGAAATTTTTGAAGGGGAGAATAATAATGGTTTAGTGATACAAGTCTTACAAATTAACCCATAGATGGGGAGAGAAGTGGTGGATCCATAGTTTTCCCAAAGGTATTTGTGAGTAAGTGGATATAACGAACTCGACTGGAATTAGAACTCGGCTCTCTTATTAACAATTTCGAGCCGTTATCCTTTACACAACCCGCATATCCAAGCTTACAACACCTGGTCTTCCCAAACGGTCACCCATCTCGACACTGACCAAGCACAATCTTGCTTAACTTTGGTGATAACTGGTGTTTCAGTGTGATATGGCCGTAAATTTTGGAAGTTGGAGATGAGAGTTCAGTTTGGTGTCAACAATACTATGGCTTTGGGAGTCGATATGGCTACATGTTTGAAACGTACGTAATATGACATTAATATGACCTTACCTTCTAACGTTACAGACACGTAGCGATGGGGGTGGGTCTACAAATAAAAAAAACTTAATGTAACGTTATAAAGTAACATTTGTAGCAAACAACGTTTGTTAGCTAGGGTTGAAAATAGCTGCGTGCACAGTTGTAGTAAAGTTGCCATTATGTCCATTTACAGTATTTACGTCATTCGGACTGCTGTCTCCATCTTTATTCACGAGGTTTCGGCCGTTGTGCGCTCCGGCCTTCCTAATCCTAACTCCTGCCGGTGATATACCTTGGAATTCCGAACCGAAACCTTTATTTAGTCCAGCTTTTTTTTTTTTGGGGGGGTATCTCGGTTTCGGATAATTCTCGTTAGTAACTCCATGTTTTTTGTTCCCTCTACTCTGGCCAGATATTGAACTCAAAACTCTTTTGGTCAAGTCATGTTTTGAATTGATTTGACCAATGATTTTATCCACTGAGCCATGAGTCATGTGTGAAACGTTGTGAATATGGCAATAAAGATGAGGAAAATTCTCAGGACGATGTAAATAGTGTAAGTAGTTACAATACCTCATCTCAGAAATATAGTGTTGTAGAGTAGTTTTCAGAGTGGAGGATTGTATTTCACTAAGTCGGTCTTAAATTAGGTTCGACGTACAAAACGTTAGGAACTTGAAAATAATAGTTAATAACGCAGCAATCTAGTTGTGGTAGCTGATACTTCAATGTCCAACATCGACAGACACACCAACACCACTGAGCCCCCTGGCGATGGCTACTACTACTACTACTACTACTTATGTGTGGGAGAGTCTATTAACAATAGAATAGGTATGTTCCGGTATAATATATAGACATCTCCTGAATAAGGTCGGAGCGTACAACAGCCGAAACGTCGTGAATATGACAATGAAGATAAGGAAAATAGTTTGAACAATGTAAATAGTGTAAATAGTTACAATACCTCATCTCAGAAATATAAACATATCCTGATGAAAGCCGGAGCTTACTACGGCCGAAACGTCATGAATATGGCAACATAAATGAGGACAACCCTCCAAACGATGTAAATAGCGTAAATAGTTACAATACCTCACCTCAGAAATAGAGACAGATGTTGAAGGTGAATATGAGAATAAAGATGAGGACAACAGTCCGAGCGATGTGAATTGTGTAAATAGTTACAATACCTCACCTCAGAAATAGAGACAGATGTTGAAGGTGAATAGGACAATAAAGATGAAGACAACAGTCCGAGCGATGTGAATTGTGTAAATAGTTACAATACCTCACCTCAGAAATATAGACATACCCTGATGAAGGCCGGAGCGTACAACGACCGAAACGTCGTGAATATGGCAATAAAGACGAGGGAAACAGTCAGAATGATGTAAATAGTGTAAATTGTTACTATATAGACGGATGATATCATACATTCACCAACCAAAAGACAGGGAATATATAATGTTGCAAGAACATTACGTGAGTATTTACTTTAAAATGCTGAGATAAAAACAACAATAAAATGAGGAAATGAATACTGAACCAGTGAAATGTTTATAATAGACAATTCATTGGTCAAAAGATATTAAAGAATTTTTTTTTAAAAATGGCAGCTAAAAAGAAAGTGTAAGAGTGGCGGAAAGAAAATTAGCATGGTGAGAAAAAGATGGAAGGAAGAATATAAAATAAAAGTGAATAGATGAGCAAGTTGCAACGACAGAAAGGAGGGGGTGGCTCTGACAGACTTGTGTAGCGATTACCTACAACACTAAATGTGTGTATGTTATTCCAGCTGAACCTCTTAAGTTGTACGTTTTTGTAAATAATCCACACCTGGCAACCATTTTTGCATTTGAGACTATAAAATTGGTTCTGCGTGCCGGCTACGATGAGAAAAATGAAAGTGACGGGGTAGTGTGTCTGATTTGGGGAAGATCTGCCATTGCAGGAAGAGAAAGATACAGACAACATCACGATTCTTCAATGACAGCGTTCAATGACATCTCTCTCTCTCCCCCCCTCTCTCTCTCTCTCTCTCTCTCTCTCTCTCTTGTAGATAAAGACGAAGAAGAATGTCTGTATGTATTCCTTCTTCGCATGTACACGTGCCGGACAAATGTCAGCCACGATGCCACCCAGAAGAGCGAAGCGGGAAAGATAAACAAAAATGAAAGAATGTCATGACTGACAAAAATCCAAAACAGAAGACCATGTAGATACGATAAAACACACACACACACAGACACACACACACACAGAAAAACAAACACACACACAAACCTATCCATTTTTCTTAGTTCGATACAAGATTATATCCGTAAATGTTTACCAAACTTCTGCTAAGAGCTTTAGACGCTGAACAAAAACATGATAATATTTCGCTATTTTTCTTATTTTCCAGTTATATAATAAAACTGCACGAATTTGAAATAAAGAGGAAGATATGGCCGAAGACTAGATCGGCTGGAATAATATGATAAAAAGTAAAAAATAAATAAAGTTCGTCATAATATTTTTAATAATGAAAATATTTTAAGTTTCAGTTGATGTATTTTGAGACATTGTTGAATTATTTAATTTGGAAAAATGTTTATGTTATACATGTGTCAATAGGTGAAAATTGGTTGAGTTTATACTTGTGTCTATAGGGAATCATTGGTCGTATTTATAATTATGTCTATAAATAAACATTGGCTGGATTTATACTTGAGTTTATAAAAAAAGAGTTGACCTTATTTTTTATTTGAACCTGTAAGTAAACTTGGGTCAAGTTTATACTTGATTCTGCAAGAAAATATTGTTCGGGTTTTTACTTGAGTCTATCTAATTATTGGTCGTTTTTATACATGAGTCTATGGAAAAACATTAACCATGTTTATACTTGAGGCAATAAGTATGTATTTTTATGGTAACGTTTTTAGATGTGGGGGTCTTACTCCTCTACTTGTGTTTATATTTGAGCATACAAATAAACATTTATCGTATTTATATTGCCTATATATAAATACTACTGGTGTTTATACTTCAGTCTATAGGTAAAATTTGATCGTATTTATACCTGCGTCTATGAGAAAACATTGGTCGTGTTTATACTTGAGGCTATAGATAAATATTTGTCTTGTCTGCAATCATCAATTTGTATGGTGGATTTGTTGGAGAGGAGGCTTAATCCTTTGCATAGAATAGAGTCGGTATATTCTACGCTCTACCGACAGAGCGAGAAAATATTTTAGATCCTTCGTCAAATGGTATAAAAATGTAAAAACATAGCGAAGGTAAAAAAAGGAAGCGATTCACTGGGACGCTTTCGCATTCAAAAGCAAGGCCATTTATATGGCAGTGACTGCTGGATAATCTTCTCTCATGTAAGAAGAGACTTTGGATCGACAGTGGTGTGATTCTACCGAAAGATGCCGAGAATAACATGAACGGAACATGTAAGTAACGAGGAAGTTATAAGGAAAATAAACACTACAAAGAAACTGATACAATCGGAAAGATGACATTTCTGTTATACCTAATGCGGAAAGAAGACTTGGAGAGTATAACACTCAAAGGACATAAGATAAAACAAACAAAGGGATAAAGCAAGTAACATAAGTTTGAGTTAATGAATGGCAAAACAAGGATAAATGGTAATATTAATCGTTTCATTATAAGGAAACATTTGGCATTCATTGACCGAGCAGCCAGTGTTGCTGTCAGTTGAAATTTATAAAATCTTTCCCTTACAACGCTTTTTCAGGAAAATAAGTTTTTTTTTTATGTCCTGTAGCTGTTATCGCTCTTTTCACTGCTGATGGAGGTTTCCTTCCTAACCTTTTGTTTGAAGTAGTGTGGAATGTCAACATCTTGATTATATCATTATTTTCTCTTCGAGTTACATATGCTAGCCATTTTAGTTGTTGCTGCTGTTGAAAGTCTTCAAGTGATATGGCTCCTGTTATTTGGTACAATTCTTTGTTTGTGATTCTGTAGTGACAAGAAGAGTTTTATTCATTAACATTAAAATTAGCAATTAAACATTTTAAAAGAATTAACGGTACTGTCACATCTTTTGGCCTCTAAGCCTGGATTTGATTTTTAAATAAATGGTGATGATAATATTAGCCGTTTCCTTATAAGGAAACATTCGGCACTCATTGACCGAGCAGCAAGTACTACTATCGATTGAAATTTATAAAATCTTTTTCTTAAAAAACTTTTTCAACAAATTAAGAGTGGATGCATATTTTTCTCAAGGGTATTCGTGTTAAAGTAAACGCAATGAACACTGTTGCAAAATTTAAATTACAAATTGCTCTTCTGAAATATTCTTGAGAAAATACAGCCCAACTGAATATCGGATCCATAGGATGGAGTTGGTGTATTCGAAGATTTATGAAAAAAAAAATCTATTAATCGTCTTCTCCCTCCAACTATGTGTAATTAGCAGAACAGACTGGGTTCTATAGCCTTGGATGGCAACTGGTCTAGGAGAAGGACAACTCTGATTTCAAAACCTGCGGAGGGTCGGTTGGGGACCCTGTGGCACGTAGTGCACCAGGTCTCTGTATTCGGCCCTTCAAAAAGTGTGGATGGTCCTGCACGAAACCATCACCACTATAATCAAATCATGTGTGCTGGTGGCTGGGGTGTCGGTTCCTAGGAACTGATCTGCTTGACCCCCATACGTCGAATACGACCGGAGAGGTCACTATGTAAATAAACAAGTAATATCTTTTATATTAAATTTCACCCAATACCAGCCTCAAAAACCACTCGAGGTAGAGAACTACTGAATGAGGTGGATGATATGAATACAAAAAGCGATAGAAGAAAAAGAAGATTATAAGGATAGGGAGAATAGATAGTGAATGATCCTTCAATTAAAGAAGTTAAGATTATGGATTTCAGGGAACCATTAATAC